CTTCTACGGACTCATGACGGCACGGGCACGGCCCAGTGCTTGCTGCAGGCACATTGAGAAGCCATCTGCCTGACACACAGAGCCGCGCAGCAAGCGCAAGGAAGGCCGGAAGGGACAAAAAAGGCGAGCAGCCTGCGTCTGCACCACCAGCTCCACCAGCCGTGCTGTGCTCAGCCTGTTCGAGTTATCTGGGTCCACAAGGGCCCTCGTGCGTCCCGGCCCAAACCCAGAGAGCCTCTTCAATATGACACGGAGGAAGTTGCTCTTGCTGCGCGGCACAGGCATCGGCGACGTGACAGCCTCCAACTCGTGCAACCGACCACGGATCAATTCCAGCACCTCCGCCATCGGCTCGGCGATGCCCTGAACATGGGAACGGCGGAACGGCTGGCCGAGAGCTACTGTACGTTGTCTGGATGCGTTCCTGATCCTCGCAGCGTGCAACAACGTAGGGGATGATCAGAGACAGCACCTGTCGTAGCAATCGTAGCAGGTCCAGCCAGGTCTTCCACACATCACAGTGCCACTTTTTCAGGCCTGGTGCTCATTCAAGCTGTCGAAGCACTGGCGCTGCCGCTTGTCAAGCTTCCCCTTGGGCCTGCAACCAGTGCAGCCCTTGACCAGGGAAATGCTCAAAGCCGCCCGGCCTCGTGTGTTCAAGGTGACAGAATTGGCACGCAGCGCCCTGCTCGCAGTTGCCATGCATGAACCGCACGCAGGGACGCCCGCACACCTGGAGCAACCGGGGCAGAGAGAGAGGGAGAGAGGGTTCACTGCTACAAGCTGTGCTACACGCTGTGCTGTGATGCGGCCACTCAGCACTCAAAGGCGCCTCTGGGTGACCAAAGCTGCCATCGTTCCAGGCCGGCTGCTCTGCCTCCTCCTGAAACTGTGCCTCTTCCGCCGCTTTCTCCACTCGGTCTCCATTCGAGGCCTCCTCTTTCAAGCCGAAGGATGCCGCGTGCCTCTGCAGGAGGTTGCCCACGTACCGGGACTCCACCGCCTCCTCGTTTGCTCTGCTCTGCAAGTCCCTCACGCCGATTCCGCTGTTTTTCTGGC